GCTTTTGATGGCCTTGGCCAGGGCTTAAGGCTGTCAGGGGGATGAGGGAAGGTGCTCTATGTGGTGCAGCCACCCTCCTACCTATATCTGTCCCCAACATTCCTGTTTCCCACAAGAGGCACCAGAGCCTCTCTGTTCACCTCATTTTTCCTAGTGCTGAGCCAGATGCTCTGAGGCCCTCTGGCTTGACAAAGACCGTCAGCCTAGGCTATGGTCTGGCCTCTGGTACTGGAATCTACCCTGCCTTTGTGGGCTCTGTGCCTGAGAGGCTGAGGCACCTGTCCAAGGCCACACAGCAAGCTAGTGGCAGAGTCATGCTCATGCACACCTGCTGTCCTGAACACGGCAACGAGGTGACAAGGAGGTACATGCAAGCCTCTGATTCTGCTGTTCAGGGCATTGGGCTTAGAGCGGGTTGTGGCAGCAGAGTGCTGGGTCCTCCTGCCTGCACGTCTCAGCAGCCCCAGTCTGCAGTGCAGCCCATGGACTCTGCTGCCAATCACAGAGGAGTGGCCTTGGGAATGCCGAGCACCTGTGTGGTGTTGCTCACAGTTGCTGGTGCTGGACGGTGGGCTTTCTCAATGCTGCAACCCACCTTGGCTCCTGGCTCCTGGCTCCATACCAGCCTTGAAACCTGAACCTGTGTTACAGGGCCAGCCTCCATGTTCTGAGAAAGTTTGACAACTTTGCTCAGTCACATTTGCTGACTTCCAGCCCGATGAAGCCTCTCGAGGTGGAGATGAACAAAGAGTGGCCTGGGGATCCAAGGGCAATGGGTTGGGGTGTCGGACAGGGCTGTGGTGGGCCTCTGTGCTGGCTGCAGGCACGTCCACAGCTTCCCACTGCGCCAACCAGTTTGCCAACAGGTACATGTCGCAGACTGTGTGAGTCTGGCCCCGGCTGGGCTGTGGGTGCAGCTTGGTTCCTAATTATATTCCAAAACAATAGGTATCTTCCTTTTCTACTTTGGTGAGGGAGTTGATGATGGGAGAGGTTTGGATTGTAGGAGGCTGTTTGGATTGTGGGGTAATCTAACAAACAGTTCAAATGATGAGGGTCAGGGTTAGAATTGAGGATGGGGGTCAGACCTTGGTAGGCCAGTCCAGCAGCACTTCAGAACCTGAAAGACCAGTGATTCTCCACAGCCAGTGCCCAGTACTTTGGAGATATGAGTGCGTTAGAGGTGGGGAGGAGCCTGTTATGCTAAGGACACACTGGAAGCTGAGGTGAGGAGCTTTCAGGCCAGAGGAGGGGCTTTTCTAGGAAGTCAGATAGCTCTTTGTTGGTCTAGAAGAAGCTGGGGCTTTGGAGAAGTCCCTGTTCCCTGAGGGCTCCCCACCTGGTCCTGGTCTCCCACTGTGCGCAGCCCTCTGGGAGTAGCCTGCAAGCCGCCGTCCCCTGAGCCATAGGCTGCCCGTCTGAGCCTGTGGTGGACATGAATTAGACTTAGAGCTCCCCAGAAACTATAGCATCTGGAAGTGGGTGGGTGCTGAGTGAGGCTGGGGAGCTGGGTCTGGGAGAGTATCCAGTCTGAGTTCTAAAGGACACAGGAAGGAGGGGGGCAGTAACAAGCTCCACAGACATTGATAGAACCCCTACTCTGTGTCCATTGGCACTGGAGGTGCAGATGACGTGAGGTTCCCCTTGCCTTCCTGGGCTTCTCTTCCTGAGAGATCCCTCACCTTCCACTTCAGGCGCCCTAGCTATGGGGCCATTAGTCCCAGGCCCCTGCCCCTCCAGTCTGTTGAGGCCACAGGAGACTGGACTCTCTCACCAGCATTTCCATACCCCGCCTTTATTGAAGCAGCAGGAACTGATGTACCAGTTACAGAAATATTCCCTTAGGCACCCCTCCCTACCCCTGTCACCCAGCCGCAGCTCATCTGCTGGCCCAGGGCCAGCGAGCTCCCATCCCAACCTCAGTTGTTCTGAGGCCACTGCAGTCCCATCTCCTGTAGCTCTAACCATGCGCACCAGGCTCCCGTGAGAGCACAGGGTCCTTGATCCTCGTGCATGACTTCCACCCTTCAATAGATATGACAACACTCTGTAAGGCTTCCTTGAACTGTAAGAAATCACTTTTCTCAGTAGTACAGTTCTTGGGTGAGTCTGTTGGCTAGATAAGAAATAAGTATTTAAGTCATTTTCTTAGCAAAAAAATAAAAGTAACTCTGTCCTCCCTGCCACCAGGGTCCTATAAGTTCCTAACTCCCCGGGAGGCAACTTGGGCAGGCCCCTCCATCTCTCTGAGGGAGGCCCCTGAGAGCCATCAGGTGGTAGTGGGGCCCAGGGTCTGAGGACCATCCAGAGCTTGGGAAGGGAGCCAGTGGGGTGTGGGTAGGTCCCACAGCAGCCCAGGGCAGGGACACTAGGCCAAGCAGGGTGGGGATGAGTAAGCAGTGGGCAAAGAGAGAGGAGTACCTTAGTCATTTCTCCACAGCACGCTCCTTCAGCCATTGCCCAGCCCCACATCATGGGCTTCCAGGGGGTTTCATCAGCACAGAAGGGGTCCCCAGGGCAGGCAAATGAGCCAGCTTGGACTGGCTGCCTAACCAGGGTTAGCGCCATGGCCCTTCTCTCTCTCCAGGCTGTCTGCAGCCAGCCCTGCCTTCACCTGTCTCAGATCTGCCCCACACTGACCCCTATGTGGAGGGCTTGGCAGAGGGCATAACAGAAACCCCCAGAGCAATCCCTGAATCCCCACTCCCCTGAGCACCAGCCCCTGTCCGTGAATGGACTTCTTTTGGATTGAGAAGTAGTGCCTGAGGCCTCACATGTGGCCAGGGGGGCCGTAAGAAGCTCTTTGCCCCATGGGCCTTGAGCTGTGGTGGCAAAAGAAATGATGTCTCTTGTTCCCCTAAGAATAAACAACTCACTTGCAGCTTTGGGCAGATTCTGGTGAGTTCTTCCATGTCCTTGTAAACCTTTTGTATGTGGTGGTCATGCTCATTATACTTTGTAAGTTCGTTCAGGGTGGAGATGAAATCCTTTGTAAACTCTCCATAGCAGGGCTCCTGAAACAGGGTTGGGGACATCGGGATGGTGGTGGTGCACAGCAGCGTGCCAGCTGACCCCTGAGGACCATCCATAGCCTTGGGAAGAGAGCCAGCACGGTGTGGGAGGTCCCACAGCAGCCCAGGGCAGGGACACGAGGACAAGCAGGATGGGAATGAGTAAGCATCCATCCCTCATCACCCTGGGCAGTTAGAGCCCTAGACCCAAATTCAGGCTGCCCCTGACTCTCCCACAGGAGACCCATGGGCCCTTCAAGCTGTGCAGTGGGTGTCTGGCCTCTTCCCAGGCCCAGGGCTGATCTGGGATGGTGATCAGAGAGCCCACAGTCTGGCCACTGGCTTATCTCTTGACTGAGCTGGAGGCTCCATTCTCAAACTCTCAGCTTTCTCCCCAGATTCTCATTCCAGCATCTTCTGTTATCTCTGCCCAGGGTGCCAACTGGGGTGATCCCTTTCAGATGTGGTCAGAAAGTCCACGGGGTGACCGCTCCTTACCTCACTGGTGTTCTGGGGCCTTTTGAAGGAACCCTGGAAGGAGGAGAAGTTAGTCAGAAACACAAAGGGCCACCAAGTGCAGTGATGTTTGGTGCAGACTTACATTGTAGATGGTATTGTCAGCCGAAAGCTCTTTCTGAATTTCAGCACAGACTGCAGTGTGGTTGTCCCGGGAAGGAGCGTTGGTGATCTTCAGGGAAGCGAAATGGCCTTCCAAGCCCCAGAGCACACAAGCCAGCAGCATGTACAGGTACATGGTATGGCTTGAGGGTGGCTCCAAGCCAATCCGCATTCTGGGCTTGGCAGCATTTCTGTGGGGGGCATACCTATATATGTGAGTGTAAGGAAATGCTGCATCTCTTATCAGTCATCGCTGGCTTACGTGGAAAACAGAGAGGGCCTTATCGCTGGGCGAGATGTGCTTTTCATGCATTTTCTATGACCACAGCACACTTCATGGATTCTTGTCTGCTGAAATTCAAGCTTGGTCTAAGAATTTTTATTCACAATCATATCTCAAGTTATGGCCTTTCTGCGTGTGAGTGAGGAAGGTCTTTGGCTAGGACTGGCTCTGTCTGCAGATGCCATCCAGAGTGGGAGAGCTACTGGGGTGCAGAGTCGGGCAGGGGCTCCAGCTGCACCAAGCCAGACTTCCCGGGCCCACCTGTCAGGGAGAAGCCTGGCCCCACTGCTCACCTGACACCTGGGGACAAACCCACTTCCTCACTGTCCCCAGGGGGACATAGGGGGACAGGTTCTGGAACAAGGGACCCAGCCTGCTGGCAAAGCAAGGCAACAGAAGAGAGCTGCTATTTCTTGGCCTGAGCACTATGAAATTTAGGGGAAAGTGCCTAATTACATGCAAAACTTCATATAAAACAAAAACCAGCTCAGAAAAATGCCACCCAAGAGCCATGTGTCAACAACTTACATTCTGCCTCTCAAAGATTAAGATCACTCATTTTAGGGAAAGTTTGGTAAATATGCTGAGCTCTGACCCCAGTGGTTTGGTTTCTTTTTTCCTTGAGCAGCTATCTGCCCATCTGCCTTAGGAGTGGTTCAAGTCCTAAGTGTGAGGGGCAGGGCGTGGCCGTAGGGTCTGGGCCTTTGAGGGTCGCTGGTGTTCTGTCTGACACTAGGGTGTGCCCACTCAGCCGGCGGGCAGCCAAGCTCCAGCACCCCCGAAAGCCTGCCCCAGAATGATGACGCCCCTTCTCTGGGGTGGCTGGCCAAGTCCACGGGGACCTGGAACCAGTGTCTGGGGTGGGAGCCCATCCTAGTGAGCAGCACAGGGCCCCACGGCCGGCTCCTGCCCCCCGCCCGTCCAGCGGTGCCCATGTGCCTCCCTGCCCCCCACCTCCTGGTTTCCTCCCCTCCCTGCCCTGTGGGGACAGACACTTGTCTCATGGTCAAAACAAACTGGACAACTGCACAAATAACAGAATTTCATAGTTTATTATTATGGTAAAAATCTTGAATAAATATGGAGTATGAGTTTAAATAAATAAATAAATAAATATCAAAATACATAAATATATAAATAAATATTACTGTTCCCTGACAGTGTGAAACATCCCCCAGTCCTCTACCAAGCCTGTATCAGGGTGGGCGTGGCCCAGAGCCAGTGTGTCCTCCATGGCCCTGTTGCCCATGGCCCCTCGAGGGGAAGATCCTGCGTTTCAGCTCTGGGTTGGCGGGCAGCAGTCCTTGGGTAAGCTGGTAGAGCTGGCTCCTTGCTGGACTGGCCTGCCTCACCTCCGGACTGGCTCCCAGCAGTCAAAGGGGATGATAAATAGAAAATCCTTCAGGTTCTGTTTGAAACTTTGGAAGGTGATAATCTGGGTTGCACAGGAAGTTTCCTTAAAAAAAAAAAAAGCACAAGAAAACTTGAATCCAGGCAAGAGAGGGTAATGTGGGAGGAGTGTGTTTCTATGCGGCCTCTCAGCACTCTTGGGTCAGGTGACATGTTGCTACCCAGGTGTCACCCACAGGGTGAACAGCTCTGCCAATAGTAGCCAGGGCAGGGGACTGACAAGATGCCAGCCTGAGGTTGCTCTCTCACTGCCTCTGCTCCCAGGCCAGGATGGAATAACTGGGCTGAGGCTAGCTCTGGGAGCTCAGAAGGGACAGGAGTTAAGGCCGTACACCTCACTCCCTTCCCTCAGTAAAGGAACCTTTGGGGCCTTTGTCCATCCTGGGTATGCCCGCATCTTTGCTCCCGTGCAATCCAGGCACCCCACAAGGGGCCAGGGGAAATTCCCCTTGGGCCCTGAACTTCCCCTGGACTGCAGGTAGGCCCTGCATTTCCTGGGGTTTGCCTCACCCCTGACCTCATTCATGAGCACCAGAGCAATACCAGCGTGGTAGCAGGGGCTGCTCCCTCTCTGGAGGGGCCCATTGTTACAAATCTGTTAACAAAGAAACACTTTGGGGCCCTGAACAGCCACAGTCCTGAAGGTCTCTCTCTATGCAGTCCTCCAGTGCCCTACACTGAGACCTTTCCCCTCGGGGCCCTGGCGGGGCACTCACCTGAGTGGGGGGACAGTGCTGCTTGTAGTGGCTGGCCATGACGGTCAAGGGGCCTGCGAGGGTCTTGAGTCCGCCCTGCAGGCCCTGCTTGTACAGCTCCAGGCGGGTCTGCAGGCATGTCGGCTCCTGTGGGAAATGTCCATCCCTTGGTGAGCAGTGGCCACGTGCCCTCCAGTGGGCACAGGACACCCTCCTCATCACTCCGTCCTGCTCTTACCCCTGTGACCCAAGAGTAGGGCCTGGGAGGGGCACAGGATGATGCCTGATAGTCTCAGGCAGAGCCCAGTCACATACTGCCCTGTCCCTCTTACCCGCCTGTCCCCTGGGAGCCCTGGCCCCTTGCATACTAGGGATGTCCACGGCTGCTAAGCTGGTAAAGGAGCTCACATGACTGCCTCAGGGCAGAGCCAGTGGCCTCCTGAGCACCCCTCCTGGCAGCCAGCTGACTGGAGAGAAAGTGGACAACACTGTGGGGGTCCATCTAAGATGCCACCACCGCCCACCCCTGCAAAGCAGAAACCTCTGGGAAGGTGTGTCAGAGAGAAGCATCTTACCTGGGGGTCAAACATGTCAGAGATGACTTTTACTGTTCCATTCTGTAGAAAAGGAAAATTCATGTTACTCAGATGATAGGCAGGGCAAGTCAGGGCCAGCAAGGTGGCCCGGGCATGGCCCTTACTCCCTCCCTCGCTCACCATTGCAGCATCAGTACCACCGCTCTTGTTCAGAAGGCTCAGGGCCTCCTTGATGGCATTCACATGTTGCCAGGGCCGGGTGACAGGGCTGGGTGTGCGGGTGGGCGCTGAAATGCTGCAGACCACAGTGCCCAAGAGAATCAGGTTCTGCAGCCACATCCTCCTGAGGACTTTAGCCTTTCTCTCTGAGCACTGGGCTCGCTGGCAAAAGAGCTCTTATATACACAGTTAGAGGAAATGATTAATGGTGACCACAAAACGCCAGGGAGGTGGGGGAACTACCTGAACTGTGGAATCTCCTGGCCCTTATCAGCTGCACATGGGAACGGTGAGCCTTTCCTCCAGGTGGTCAGGCTTGGGGGTTTTCATTAATGAGCCTTTCCAAGAACCGGCAGCCCACCCGCCTGCCTCCTTAAGCCCTCTCCAGCCTTCCCTGGGCATTCTGGCCTGTGAGGCTGCCCCCTCCCGCTGAGGGGCCTCTGAGCACAGCTTGGACTTCCTGGCCTGGAGTGGCTGGGGTGGGGCCTCGGAGGCACTGGATCCGTTCCTACACCCAGGCTCTCCATCCTGCCTAGTATCCCAGGAGGCCTCCAGGCTGCCTTGTACCCACCCTGGGGCCCATTCCGACCCCCACCTCCCCTTCTCCTCCTAGAGCCCTCTCCTCTGGCCACAGTGAAGGGTTTGAAGGTGAGGATGACTCTCACAGGCCTGCCCCACTTTCCGCCTAGATGGACTCCTGCCAAACAGTCTAGTCCTGCGACAGTTCACCTCAGCAGCGCCCAAGTACCCAGGGCAGTCGGCACACTCTGCCCAGCCAGGGACCTCTACCCCACTGCCCCTGTGGGCAGAGGGGAGGACAACCATGTACATGTGCAGCCAGCAGCCTGCAGAGTGCTCCTTCATGGTGAGATCCCATCGGAGCGGCAGTGGTCTACACAGCCGTATTCAGCCCCAGGCTGCAGAGGTGGGTTGGGCTCTCAGCGGAGCTAGTTCAGGGCCTCAAATCCCAGCTCCAGCACCACCTTGCTGAGTGACTCTTCTCTCTGAGCAATTTGAGCCTTACCTCCTTCTGCAGGGCAGCCTGCCACTCCCCCTACCTACAGCCCCCGGCAGGCACCAGGAGCTTCGGGGGACAACGGTGTCTCAAGCCAGGTCTCCCAGGTTTAATTTCCAATGTGGCCCCTGCTCCAGCCCAGCTCCAGAGGCCTCTCTGTGGGACAGAAACTGCTTCTGGGAAAGCCACAGGCCCTTGAGGGGTGGACAAGTGTTTGATTTTCACAGTGGAACTTGAAGAGGACGGCATGAGCCGGTGTTTGCTGCCCCATGCTCTGGGTTTTGTGGCCGCAGGAGTGTGGGGCCGCACACGTGCCTTTCTGAATGTCAGTGCCTGTGTGCTTGGGTGGGTCTGAACTTACAGGTGCATCGGCAGGGGTGAATATTTCACATGAGGTGCATCCTTGTGAGCTCCCCCATTCCTCTGCAGGTGCCCTGCTGATGTGGCAGGAACACCCCACCCAAGATGCGATGTTTCTGGGCCCCAGAGGCTGATTCTGCCTAGAAAAGGGGTTGGACTCGAGTGAGGACCTTCTACTGGGCTCAAGTGGATGGCCTTGAGAGCAGGAAGAACTCGTGGTCTGAGTACTGTGGCCCAAGCCGGCAGCCCTAGAAAGTTTCACTGCATGGCCAGAGGGTTCCTGCACTTGCATAGGAAGCCAGACCTTCATTCTTCAGACCCCATTGAGGTCCTTGCTGGGATCGGGGCCCACCATGAGGCCAGCCCTGCTTTCTGAGCCTGGTAGAATGTTGCTATGTGGCCAGGCTCGGAGTGAGAGTGTGGCATGGCCAGGCCCTGACCCATCCTCCACCCTCTCCATGAGGCCTCTGCTCAGCCCTTGCAGGGAGTCCTCAGGGGTCAAGTACACTAGATGCAAATGCCACACAGAGTGGAAGTCTGTGTCAGACAGTGCCCTGGAGGCTGGGTGGTGGCGAGTAGGTACTACAGGCAGTGGCTAAGCTAGTGGTCAGGAGGCAGAGAGCTGTTGTGGCCCCTCAGAGACAGAAGGTCACCTTCATACTGGAAATGAGTCGTCACTGCTCAGACAGTTAGTCAGCAAAGTTTTCCAATATTCTTCAGGACCTGTGCTGGGGAGGAGGCAGTCGGGACCCTCCTGCTGGTCCTGGAGGCCCTCACCTGATGAAGGACAGCAGTGGACGGTCCTGTTGTGTGGGCTGGGCTGTGAGGCGGGAGTGCAGAGCTGAGCAATCCCAAGAAACCACTCCTCCCCGCTGGAGGCACAAGGGAACCAGAGAGCTCCTGGGAGATGCTGCCTCCCCACACAGGCTGAAAGGGCAAGTCAGGCTGTGGGAGGGAGGGGAGGACAGGTTAGATGGACAGCATCGGGGGCTCAGAGACAGAGAGTTTTAGGAGCAGGTATGGTGCGAGGAGGCAGGCTCCAGAGAGATTTAGGGAATAGAATTTGGTAGACTCAATGATGTAATGGACTTGTTCATTCAGTATTTATTGAGCACCTGCTAGGTTTCCAGCAGGGGAAGGGGACTCACGGATGGTAAGAAACAGACCCCTGCCTTTATGGACTTTGTAGCCCCATGGATGGAGGAACAAAATTAATCCATTCACCCCCTTCCCAAAGTGTGCTTTTGAATGTAAGTAGGAAGAGTTAGAACCACTGTCCAGGTGTCTAAGGCAGGGACCCAGGAGACAACAGAAGTTCTGGTGGTCAGGAGGCTGACCCGGGCGTGGCTGTGTCCACATGATCACTAAGGTCACAGGAGGTTATTCAGGAAGAACAGCTAAGGGCCAGGGCAAGATAGCTGGACAAGAGGCTGGACAGCGGCCAACGGCTCTGGGAGAGCAGGAAACAAGGGGAAGCAGGAGCCCCAAGCAGAGGGCCTGCCAGCAGCACGGCCTGTGGTCATGTGCCAGAGTCAGCACACGAGGGGCAGAAGTCCGTGGGCTCCATAGTAAGGTTCATGGGTGGCCACATCTTTTTCTGGAAAGATGACATCAGGGCTGAGGCCATGACACAGGCAGACATTCCTAGATTGCACTGCATGGAAAGTGGCAGTGATAACACCAAGGGGCTACTGACTCAGGGGCCTGATGAGACTGTGGGAGGGTGGGGGCGGGGCCTACGGGGGCAACATGACTCCCCCTTACCACAGGGCCAGGAGAAAACCCTTGGGAAGGGGTTTCCTGTGAGCATCCCTCCCACAGGCTCTGGAGGAAATGGGGCCTTGTGGTCACCCTGGGATCCTTATCACAGAGGAAGTTATCAGAAGGGGAAGTTATCAGAAGTGGGCCTCAGAGTGCCACATCCCTTGGGACCTCTCTATGGGCACCTGAGCTGGCCTCACCCTCCTTGGACTGCCACCCTTTGATGAGGGTCCTTGTCCTTTCCGGGGACCTGAGGTTCAGGAGAACAGTGGCCCGCCCGGTCCACACAATCTGAGCTTCGGGGGACAACGGTGTCTCAAGCCAGGTCTCCCAGGTTTAATTTCCAATGTGGCCCCTGCTCCAGCCCAGCTCCAGAGGCCTCTCTGTGGGACAGAAACTGCTTCTGGGAAAGCCACAGGCCCTTGAGGGGTGGACAAGTGTTTGATTTTCACAGTGGAACTTGAAGAGGACGGCATGAGTCGGTGTTTGCTGCCCCATGCTCTGGGTTTTGTGGCCGCAGGAGTGTGGGGCCGCACACGTGCCTTTCTGAATGTCAGTGCCTGTGTGCTTGGGTGGGTCTGAACTTACAGGTGCATCGGCAGGGGTGAATATTTCACATGAGGTGCATCCTTGTGAGCTCCCCCATTCCTCTGCAGGTGCCCTGCTGATGTGGCAGGAACACCCCACCCAAGATGCGATGTTTCTGGGCCCCAGAGGCTGATTCTGCCTAGAAAAGGGGTTGGACTCGAGTGAGGACCTTCTACTGGGCTCAAGTGGATGGCCTTGAGAGCAGGAAGAACTCGTGGTCTGAGTACTGTGGCCCAAGCCGGCAGCCCTAGAAAGTTTCACTGCATGGCCAGAGGGTTCCTGCACTTGCATAGGAAGCCAGACCTTCATTCTTCAGACCCCATTGAGGTCCTTGCTGGGATCGGGGCCCACCATGAGGCCAGCCCTGCTTTCTGAGCCTGGTAGAATGTTGCTATGTGGCCAGGCTCGGAGTGAGAGTGTGGCATGGCCAGGCCCTGACCCATCCTCCACCCTCTCCATGAGGCCTCTGCTCAGCCCTTGCAGGGAGTCCTCAGGGGTCAAGTACACTAGATGCAAATGCCACACAGAGTGGAAGTCTGTGTCAGACAGTGCCCTGGAGGCTGGGTGGTGGCGAGTAGGTACTACAGGCAGTGGCTAAGCTAGTGGTCAGGAGGCAGAGAGCTGTTGTGGCCCCTCAGAGACAGAAGGTCACCTTCATACTGGAAATGAGTCGTCACTGCTCAGACAGTTAGTCAGCAAAGTTTTCCAATATTCTTCAGGACCTGTGCTGGGGAGGAGGCAGTCGGGACCCTCCTGCTGGTCCTGGAGGCCCTCACCTGATGAAGGACAGCAGTGGACGGTCCTGTTGTGTGGGCTGGGCTGTGAGGCGGGAGTGCAGAGCTGAGCAATCCCAAGAAACCACTCCTCCCCGCTGGAGGCACAAGGGAACCAGAGAGCTCCTGGGAGATGCTGCCTCCCCACACAGGCTGAAAGGGCAAGTCAGGCTGTGGGAGGGAGGGGAGGACAGGTTAGATGGACAGCATCGGGGGCTCAGAGACAGAGAGTTTTAGGAGCAGGTATGGTGCGAGGAGGCAGGCTCCAGAGAGATTTAGGGAATAGAATTTGGTAGACTCAATGATGTAATGGACTTGTTCATTCAGTATTTATTGAGCACCTGCTAGGTTTCCAGCAGGGGAAGGGGACTCACGGATGGTAAGAAACAGACCCCTGCCTTTATGGACTTTGTAGCCCCATGGATGGAGGAACAAAATTAATCCATTCACCCCCTTCCCAAAGTGTGCTTTTGAATGTAAGTAGGAAGAGTTAGAACCACTGTCCAGGTGTCTAAGGCAGGGACCCAGGAGACAACAGAAGTTCTGGTGGTCAGGAGGCTGACCCGGGCGTGGCTGTGTCCACATGATCACTAAGGTCACAGGAGGTTATTCAGGAAGAACAGCTAAGGGCCAGGGCAAGATAGCTGGACAAGAGGCTGGACAGCGGCCAACGGCTCTGGGAGAGCAGGAAACAAGGGGAAGCAGGAGCCCCAAGCAGAGGGCCTGCCAGCAGCACGGCCTGTGGTCATGTGCCAGAGTCAGCACACGAGGGGCAGAAGTCCGTGGGCTCCATAGTAAGGTTCATGGGTGGCCACATCTTTTTCTGGAAAGATGACATCAGGGCTGAGGCCATGACACAGGCAGACATTCCTAGATTGCACTGCATGGAAAGTGGCAGTGATAACACCAAGGGGCTACTGACTCAGGGGCCTGATGAGACTGTGGGAGGGTGGGGGCGGGGCCTACGGGGGCAACATGACTCCCCCTTACCACAGGGCCAGGAGAAAACCCTTGGGAAGGGGTTTCCTGTGAGCATCCCTCCCACAGGCTCTGGAGGAAATGGGGCCTTGTGGTCACCCTGGGATCCTTATCACAGAGGAAGTTATCAGAAGGGGAAGGAAGTGGGCCTCAGAGTGCCACATCCCTTGGGACCTCTCTATGGGCACCTGAGCTGGCCTCACCCTCCTTGGACTGCCACCCTTTGATGAGGGTCCTTGTCCTTTCCGGGGACCTGAGGTTCAGGAGAACAGTGGCCCGCCCGGTCCACACAATCAGTGATGGCAGAGACAGGATTCAAACCCATATCTGTTCCTGCTCCCCTGATGTCTTCCATTATCTCAGGGATCAGAGAGCCAGGAGATGCTGGTTACCTGGCCAGACCAGCAGAGGGATGCCCTCCTCAGGGCGTCTGTAAAGGGAGACTCCCAGCATTGGCAAGGAAGCTAAAGGAGCTTGTCACTGTGCCAGGGAAACCCTGGGGGCCAAAGGCAGAATTTCCCCAGCAGAGGCTGCATCCAGGCAGCTCTGTGTCTGTCCTGGGCTCTCTACTGCTGACCCCTGGGCAGCCCAAGAAAGTCCCACCCCCTGAGCCTCAGTGCCTTCATCTGTCTGATGGGTTTAGTTATCTCCACCTCAGAGGAAACTGCTGCTCCCAAG